TACCATACCATACCATACCATATATACCATACCATACCATACCATACCATACCATACCATACCATACCATAACCATACCATACCATACCATACCATACCATACCATACCATACACCATACCATACACCATACCATACACCATACCATACCATACCATACCCATACCATACCCATACCATACCCATACCATACCCATACCATACCCATACCATACCCATACCATACCCATACTATACCATAATATACCATAACATACCTTACCACTCCTAACATACCTTACCACTCCCTAACTTTCCATACTGTGTCACAGTAACCACACCATACCTTGCACACCATACCATACCATGCCATACCATAAGAAGTTGCCATATAACATACCATACCACACTATTCCACGCTATACCATGCCATACCATGCCACACCATATTATACCATACCATGCTAAACCATACCATTCCATGCCAAGCCATATTACCACACTTCACTATGCCAAGCCATACCATGCCATGCCAAATCATACCTTAACAAGCTGGCAGATACCACACTACACCGTTTATTTACTCGCGCCTTACATCATGAATGTGTTTATTTCAGGTGAAAACAGTGCTACTCCACAAGACAATTGTTCTGAAACTTCGTCCCGTTTGGAAAAGGAATGGTCTGAATTTCGGGCCAGAATTTCACAAATTGTCCAAAGCAAATTTTTTGAATGGTTTATTTTGTTCGTCATTACAATCAGCAGTATTTGTTTGGTAAGTCGTATAAATATTTGTAAATAATTATAATGGATAACAGCTCTATCAGTTCTAAATTGTTCTTTCCAAAGGTCAAGTAGGGTCATTGTTACTACAGGAAGAAACTGGAATACCTGGAGAAACCCTGGAGAAACCCGTGTGACTATAATAATACAACTACAAATTGCAGTAATGGATAAAATTCGATACCTATAGACAGTGACAGCAGGCCTGGAAAATATGTTTTCTCCTCCTGGCAGCAAAATCCAAAAGTAAAAATTTACTGTGCAGGTCAAACAGAAAACGTTCTGCAGGGGTAGATCTCAGCGAACGTATGATGCCTCGCAGTGTGATAACCTTCAATCTCGGCACAAGATAATCTTGACTTGCAAAATGCTTTTGTAAACAACAAGTAAATTATTCGGTGTTCCAGTGCATAAGACGACAAAAATATCCTGCTGGAAGATTTCCTGCGAAGATATTTTGTTAAAAATATCGGTGCTGCCGGGCATTTTCCAGCAAGGCTGGGCACAAACCGACATATTTCATGTAATATTTCAAATCCTCCTATGAGGACTGGACTAGATTTCAAGTCCGTGCATTTTGATCAAGTCGGGGGCTGCCTCCTCCGCAGGCCCTCGTTGCGTCATGGGAAGGTCACGATTTCGAGAGGGCCTGCGGAATCTTGTAAAATGAATAAATGTTGTTTTGAACCTGCTTCGTTAAAGAAGGCAGTTTTATTCGTGCAACGTTGGTGTGGACAACAAACCTTATCGTTAAAAAATGCTTCCTTCCACGTCCTAAGAGTCGCCAGTTTAATTTATAAGTTTCACACCGCTTTTTTATATCTGTTTATATTCAAGATTATGTATAAATTTACTTGCTGACGTGACGCCGGCGCCATTTTTTTTACAAGATTCCGCAGGCCCTCGCCAGATCGTGACCTTCCCATGACGCAACGAGGGCCTGCGGAGGAGGCAGAGTCGGAGGAGAAGCCGAGGACTGGATCAAAATGCGAGGACTTGAAATCTAGTCCAGTCCGGATTGGAGGATTTGAAATGACATCTCATGCGAATAAATTACTACTTAATTAAATTTTGATCCAGTCCAAGGACTGAATTAATTTTGACCCAGTCCTAGGACTGAATCAATGTAATTCACCAAGTATCCAGTATTATCATGTGAGCAAAATAAAGCAATATGGTTGGCTAGTTTACTCATGAATTATTAATGAGTTTGAGATACATTTTTCATGTCTTTTTTAGGCCTTTGAAGATATTTATCTCCGCGACCACAAGGATTTACAACACATTTTATATTGCTTGGACATCGCATTTGTCGTGATCTTTTCCTTGGAGTTTCTTCTCAAGTTGATTGGTCTTGGTTTTATTCGATATTTCTCAAACGGTTGGAACTATTTGGATCTAGGCATTGTCATAGTAAGTAACCTCAAACATGGTGGTTCTGTGTAGGTAGTATTTATTCTACAATAACCTGCCGTGGTTTGTGTCTGAACTGCCTGAAAAAGGTATCTCAAACGTGATGGTCCAGTGTAGGTAGTATTCTACAATAAGCTGCTGTGGTTTGTGTATGAACTGCCTGAAAAAGGTATCTCAAACGTGGTGGTCCAGTGTAGGTAGTATTCTACAATAAGTTGCTGTGGTTTGTGTATGAACTATCTGAAAAAGATATCTCAAGCATGATCCAGTGCAGGTAGTATAATATTCTACAATAAATTTCAAAAGTACAGATTCGTTTTACTAATTTTGTTGGTGTTTAATTTAGATATCCATTCTTAGTCTTACCGTCCGTTCAGATTTGGCTGCTTTTCGCTCATTGAGAACATTAAGAGCACTAAGGCCTTTACGCGCCATTTCTCGTTTCGAAGGTTTGAAGGTACGTTGAAGTTCCAGGATAAGATTTTTCAACTTTTCTTTTAAATATGGACTTGTAAAATATTGACAGCGGTTAGTACGTGTGCCTTTCATTTTTGCTACCGAGTTGTGCGGTTATCAGAGGCATTCACCCCCCTGAACTTCCGCTATTTTTAATATGTTTAGGGGGGTGAATGCCTCTCACAAGCGTACTGCTAGCTGGGACCATGGCGATAACATTGCAACGGTTACGCCAAAATCATAGGCGAAACTAAGAAGTCGATCTTATTCTGTGACTGTACTTTACATACTGTATTGTTATATCTTGTTTAGATAGTCATAGGCTCTCTATTCAGTGCAATTCCTGGCATTAGTAATGTTCTCTTGGTTGGTCTGCTCTCCTGGTTAATATTCAGTATCATGGGCGTACAGTTGTTTGGCGGCAAGTTCTACAAGTGCATCGACTCTAGTTACCAGGTCCTCCCGGTCGCTCAAGTTCCCAACAAGACCACGTGTTTAGAGAAAGAGTTTCGCTGGGAAAATTCCCACATGAATTATGATAATGTTCTGAATGGTTTAGTTGCCCTGACGCAAGTGGTAGGTTTGTTAAAAAGTTTGAAAAATATATAAACTCTGTCTTGTTTGGTTAGGATTCAATCAGAATTTTGGGTATCTACACTCGACATAACTAATTAACAATTAGATTACTCGCTCTCGATTTCTATGAGGTGATAGTAGAATCAGAGATCAAACTAAAATATTCCACAATATTCCATAAAATATTGCCAAGTGTACCAGGAAAATGATTGCTTTGCTACTCACTATCTGTCGAGGAATAGATAGCGAGTAGAGTAGCCAATCAAATTACAGCATTTGCAATAATATATACTAATTGTATACAACCTCTATAATTAATTATATCGAATGAGATACCCAGAATCCTGATATTTACCCATACATCTTACATTGGCATCACCTTAGTATGTATACATGAACATACGGTTAGAGGTCGACAACTGTCTCTCTGTAGCTCAGTGATATTTACCCATACATCTTACATTGGCATCACCTTAGTATGTATACATGAACAAACATACGGTTAGAGGTCGACAACTGTCTCTCTGTAACTAACATGGTTAGAGGTCGACAACTGTCTCTCTGTAGCTCAGCTGGTTAGAGGTCGACAACTGTCTCTCTGTAGCTCAGTTGGTTAGAGGTCGACAACTGTCTCTCTGTAGCTCAGTTGGTTAGAGGTCGACAACTGTCTCTCTGTAGCTCAGTTGGTTAGAGGTCGACAACTGTCTCTCTGTAGCTCACTTGGTTAGAGCTCGACAACTGTCTCTCTGTAGCTCAGTTGGTTAGAGCTCGACAACTGTCTCTCTGCAGCTCAGTTGGTTAGAGATCGACAACTGTCTCTGTGTAGCTCAGTTGGTTAGAGATCGACAACTGTCTCTGTGTAGCTCAGTTGGTTAGAGCTCGACAACTGTCTCTCTGTAGCTCAGTTGGTTAGAGCTCGACAACTGTCTCTCTGTAGCTCAGTTGGTTAGAGCTTGACAACTGTCTCTCTGTAGCTCAGTTGGTTAGAGCTTGACAACTGTCTCTCTGTAGCTCAGTTGGTTAGAGCTTGACAACTGTCTCTCTGTAGCTCAGTTGGTTAGATCTCAACAACCGTCTCTCTGTAGCTCAGTTGGTTAGAGCTCGACAACTGTCTCTCTGTAGCTCAGTTGGTTAGAGCTCGACAACCGTCTCTCTGTAGCTCAGTTGGTTAGAGCTCGACAACTGTCTCTCTGTAGCTCAGTTGGTTAGAGCTCGACAACTGTCTCTCTGTAGCTCAGTTGGTTAAAGCTGGACAACCGTCTCTCTGTAGCTCAGTTGGTTAGAGCTCGACAACTGTCTCTCTGTAGCTCAGTTGGTTAGAGCTCGACAACTGTCTCTCTGTAGCTCAGTTGGTTAGAGCTCGACAACTGTCTCTCTGCAGCTCAGTTAGTTAGAGATCAACAACTGTCTCTCTGTAGCTCAGTTGGTTAGAGCTCGACAACTGTCTCTCTGTAGCTCAGTTAGTTAGAGCTCGACAACTGTCTCTCTGTAGCTCAGTTGGTTAGAGCTCGACAACTGTCTCTCTGTAGCTCAGTTAGTTAGAGCTCGACAACTGTCTCTCTGTAGCTCAGTTGGTTAGAGCTCGACAACTGTCTCTCTGCAGCTCAGTTAGTTAGAGATCAACAACTGTCTCTCTGTAGCTCAGTTGGTTAGAGCTCGACAACTGTCTCTCTGTAGCTCAGTTGGTTAGAGCTCGACAACTGTCTCTCTGTAGCTCAGTTGGTTAAAGCTCGACAACTGTCACTCTGTAGCTCAGTTGGTTGGAGCTCGACAACTGTCTCTCTGTAGCTCAGTTGGTTAGAGCTCGACAACTGTCTCTCTGTAGCTCAGTTGGTTAGAGCTCGACAACTGTCTCTCTGTAGCTCAGTTGGTTAGAGGTCGACAACTGTCTCTCTGTAGCTCAGTTGGTTAGAGCTAGACAACTGTCTCTCTGTAGCTCTGTTGGTTAGAGCTCGACAACTGTCTCTCTGTAGCTCAGTTGGTTAGAGCTCGACAACTGTCTCTGTAGCTCAGTTGGTTAGAGCTTGACAACTGTCTCTCTGTAGCTCAGTTGGTTAGAGCTCGACAACTGTCTCTCTGTAGCTCAGTTGGTTAGAGCTCGACAACTGTCTCTCTGTAGCTCAGTTGGTTAGAGCTCGACAACTGTCTCTCTGTAGCCCAGTTGGTTAGAGCTCGACAACTGTCTCTCTGTAGCTCAGTTGGTTAGAGCTCGACAACTGTCTCTCTGTAGCTCAGTTGGTTAGAGCTCGACAACTGTCTCTCTGTAGCTCAGTTGGTTAGAGCTCGACAACTGTCTCTCTGTAGCTCAGTTGGTTAGAGCTCGACAACTGTCTCTCTGTAGCTCAGTTGGTTAGAGCTCGACAACCGTCTCTCTGTAGCTCAGTTGGTTAGAGCTTGACAACTGTCTCTTTGTAGCTCAGTTGGTTAGAGCTTGACAACTGTCTCTCTGTAGCTTAGTTGGTTAGAGCTCGACAACTGTCTCTCTGTAGGTCAGTTGGTTAGAGCTCGACAACTGTCTCTATGTAGCTCAGTTGGTTAGAGCTCGACAACTGTCTCTCTGTAGCTCAGTTGGTTAGAGCTCGACAACTGTCTCTCTGTAGCTCAGTTGGTTAGAGCTCGACAACTGTCTCTCTGTAGCTCAGTTGGTTAGAGCTCGACAACTGTCTCTCTGTAGCTCAGTTGGTTAGAGCTCGACAACTGTCTCTCTGTAGCTCAGTTGGTTAGAGCTGGACAACTGTCTCTCTGTAGCTCAGTTGGTTAGAGCTCGACAACTGTCTCTCTGTAGCTCAGTTGGCTAGAGCTCGACAACTGTCTCTCTGTAGCTCAGTTGGTTAGAGCTCGACAACTGTCTCTCTGTAGCTCAGTTGGTTAGAGCTCGACAACTGTCTCTCTGTAGCTCAGTTGGTTAGAGCTCTACAACTGTCTCTCTGTAGCTCAGTTGGTTGGACCGCTGCACCGGAGGGCCGCAGGTTCGATTCCTGCCAGAGGGTCTATAGTTGCATCCTGGTTAAGGTCATGTTACACGGTGCAATTTTTCTTGCAACTTGCAATGCAATCCTACTCTTGAGAGATGTTAATTAGTGAAATCAGTGAAGAATTTTCGATATGTTGAGAAAACATCAGCGGAGTGTAATGAAGACTCGTATTTGGCAATTTTACATCTCTCAAGAGTAGAATTGCATTGCAAGTTGCAAGAAAAATTGCACCGTGTAACATGACCTTTAGGTCTAAATAAATGTATAAAATTTACACTCGAAATTTCCGTCTACAAAACCCTTGTCCAATTCATTCTGACTAATTCATGAAACTTGCATTATTATAACTTTCAGGCAACTCTAGAAGGTTGGATGGAAATCATGCGAGATGCTGTCGATGCCACGGGGGTAGGTTTTTCTTGGCTTGTTATTACTGATAAATGTATTTGTTAAGTTCTGCCGAAACTGTTCTTCTTGCAAGTCCGTAAAACCACGAGTCTAGCCTCTTGCATATATCTTGCATGATATTGCAACTTAATTTGTCGGCGGAGGTATGCAGTCTCCCAATGCTCCCTATGTCTCTATATTTTTGTTTGAAAACTTCATTCCTCTCTGCTATAGGTGGATAAGCAGCCGATACCAGAGAACAACCTCTCTGCATATTTATACTTTGTCGTCTTTATAATCCTTGGTTCGTTCTTTGTTCTAAACCTGATTGTGGGTGTGATCATTGACAAGTTTTCTCGCATGAAACAACTATATGAAGACACTGGTTCCACTGGCATCTATCTGTCTACTCAGCAGATTGATTGGTTAAACACGTTAAAGAAAGCTGCCAGCAAGAAACCAAGCAGAACTGCTGAGAGACCAAAGGTAGAATAGACTTTATGCATAATGACGTCACAAGGCTTGATGCCCGTGAGGAATGCTGGTCTTAGTAGTCATCGCCCGGGAAAATTTCGATAGTGGCCATTTTGAATTGTTTAATTTTCGCGGGCGATGACGGCTATTGACTTACTTATACACCAAGGCTATATTATTTATCGGTTAGGTATATTTTGAAATTTTCTTAGTTGTGTTACTACATTCAAACGTTCTTCGTATCTTATGAATGTTCTTTACTGCATTCCTAGAACTATTTTCGTGGCATTATCTTCGACATTGTGACGAATAATTATTTTGAAATAACGATCATATTCATCATTGGGTTAAATATGGGAACGATGATGCTGCAACATTATGGTCAAAGTCAACATATGGATGACGTTCTTGATATCCTTTTCACATTACATATTATTATTCAGCTCACTTCGCATTGGGGCTTTTCAGTGACCGATTACATCAAGTATTACGCTTATGTTACTTAGCTTAAGCCCGTTTTCCACTCACGTATTTCCGGCGCCGCTGGAGAAAAATTTCGCCACCGAAAAAGTTCATTTATTGTTCTTTCGCGCCGTCAACGAAATTAGGTCAAACAGTTGAAAATTTTAAGCAACTGTAGCAGGAGAACAAATTTCTTCAGCGGCGAATGAATGTAAAAAAATGATTTCTTTGTCAAAATTTTTCGCCAGCGGCGGCGAAATACGTGAGTGGAAAACGGGCTTAAGGCTATTTATCTTTACAACAATTGTGATATTACTTTCCTAACTGTGTTTTTGTCCTAATCCACCCTTCCAACTTTCCCTGTGGGAGGAAACCGGAGCGCCCGGAGAAAACCCACGGCGAGAATCGAACCCACGAACTTAGAGGTGAAAGGGGGATTTGGTGAAATATCTTTTTTTCCTGACAGAGGAGGTGGGATTAGTGCCAGGGACGTAGCGAAGATTTTGTCGTTTCAGTTGGGGAGGGAGAGCTGTCAAATTATCTGATTTTCTAAATTACGTCTTACTGTACGTGACCTGAAATGTTGGCGAGAAGATCTCGTAGTTTAAGAAGATTATTACAATGCCGGATCATGCAAACAGCCCCTACTCCTCATTTATACCAGTTTTCATTCCTTAACCATAAAATCACATTTCTTAAATTATTTCTTCACGGGAATTTTTATCGGAGAAGCTATCGCAAGAATTACAGCTCTTGGAACGTTTTATTTCCGCGTGGGTTGGAACGTCTTCGATTTTCTCGTCGTTGTTTTATCTGTTGTGGGTACGTTATCTTCAATATTTCTAGAAGCCGATTACTATGATTAAAATGGTATTGGTTTTATGTCAAACACTATATCAAACATGATAATGTCACCTCGGTCAACCGTATACGAGAAGAGTGCTTCCAGTTTGACTCTACCAAATAGCCCTAACTACAGCTATCTAGTTTAAATGCACTTTTATATAGGATGGCCTTACTGGGCCTTTAGGGAGAACAGTGTATTACCGAAATCAGTAGATGTCTTTTCCGGAAGTTGAAAAGACAGTCAGAAGCCAGTAGAAACGTTCATGTTTTATGACGTCACGGTGAAGGAATGCAGCGTGGAACTTGTATGTTATTTTACTTATTAGTAACTTTATTTAGTTTGACAAATTGCCAATGGCTCGCCAAACACAAAACAAGCTTTCGAGCAAAGGGAGAACCTTTGTTCGTGGGAAGGCACTGGGAGAAGAAATGCAAACTAAATAAAGTAACTAATAAGTAAAATAACATACAAGTTCCACGCTGCATTCCTCCACCGTGACGTCATAAAACATTTTCAACTTCCGGAAAAGACACTCCACTGATTTCGGTAACAGAACTGATAGAGCTATCCACAGCTGCGGATTGAGAAGGATACAACTACCTGAAAAATTAATCAGAACTTCGACGTTTCGAGCGAAGAGAATTTAGTGATATAAAGCTATCCATGCAGTATAAATGAAGTTAGTTTAGTTTAGGTTTCCTTCTGTAGTAACACTGACCTGCGAGGGATGGTCCTTACTGGACCTCTAGCGAGAAGAGTTTAGAACTGGCAGAGCTATCCAGTATAAATACTCTGAAGTAGTTCGTTCATAAGATAATCTTCTCTTTCTCTTTCTCTAGGAATCTTAGTGATAGAGCTATCCATGCAGTATAAATAAAGTTAGTTTAGTTCAGGTTTCCTTCTGTAGTAACACTGACTTACGAGGGATGGTCCTTACTGGACCTTTTGCGAGAAGAGTTTAGAACTGGCAGAGCTCTTCAGTATAAATACTCTGAAGTAGTTCATTGATAAGATAATCTTCTCTTTCTCTAGGAATGTTACTTGAAGCTCTGAAGAAATTTGATTTTGTCAAGCTCAGTTTATTGCGTGGTATCCGAGCATTTCGAGTCACTCGACTTCTCAGGTTTATAAAAGTAGCTAAGGGTATTCGTAAGTTGACCTTTGCCTTCGTCCTATCTCTTCCCGCGCTTTTCAACATCTGCTGTCTGCTCGTGCTTATCTTATCAATCTACGCCATTGTCGGAATGACTTCGTTTGGCTTCGTAAAGAAAACGGGCGCTTTGAACGATGTCGTGAACTTCGAAACGTTCGTGCGAAGTTTCGTGCTCTTGTTTCGTTTAATGACGTCAGCAGGATGGAATGAAGTGTTGGACTCGCTTATGATCCAGTCCCCTGACTGTGACCCGTATTACCTCGGTCTGAGCAATGGAAATTGCGGTAGACCTTTATTTGCACAATTTTATTTCGTCTCGTTCGTGATTATAACCCATATAATCTTAGTCAACATGTACATTGCAATAATATTGGAAAATTTCAACAGAATTTACAAAAAAGCTAAAGTTGGTATCACGGACGATGATTTAGACATGTATTATTCAAAATGGGCGCTCTACGACCCAAAGGCCACCGAGTATATTCACTTCGAGCAGCTATCGGAATTCGTCGACAAACTTAACCCGCCATTGCGGGTGCCCAAATCAGGGACAGGTGGGGTTGAGACTATGGATATTTCTCTGAGAAGCGGTGACAGGGTACACTGTTTAGACCTACTCCATGCTTTGGTGAAACATTTAGTTTTGAAAGAGTTCCCAAAAGGTGGTGGAGGTTATTCTGTGGTTATGGAAAGACTCGAAGAGCGTTTCATGAAAGCTTTTCCAAGGAGGAACCTTTATGCTCCAGTTTCTACCGTGAAACAGAAAACCCGTGAGATTAAAGCCGCACTGATCATACAACGAGCTGTGAAGCGATTTAAAGCCAGCAAAGAGAGGGCGAGAATTGCTCAGAATGAAACAGAAACTCAGAGGTTTGGCCAGATTAGAACAGAAACACATAGTTTTGTTCAGAATGAAAGAGAATCTTCAAATTGTTTTCAGAATAAAACAGAGACTCGTACCGCAAATTTAAATGAAAGCAGCGTAGCTGTACATCGTAGACCTGTACATGAACGACCATTAAAACGAAACAGCTCCCACACACTGACGATTCCACCAATTAGAACAGTTCAGGTCGAGTCCCTCGCGCGAACTCATAAAGTTTCAGAGGATCTGTCATTAAACAGTGTCAGTACTGATAATTCGATGTAATATACTTTAGAAAGCATGTTGTATAGTGTGTTTTGTATTTAAATAAAAATAGAACAAATTATATTTAATTATTTTTAAATTATATAATTGTCTAATACTTGGTTTAGTAAAGGTGTTTGAACTGCTTAAAGAAAGATTAAGAAATAAAAAAAACTTTGGATGTTTCGAACAAAGACCTGACGAAGGACCTTTTAATGAATAAATGTTAGGCCAATGAAAATTGATATCATGTTTCTCGTCCCCGCCCGCATGGGATTTATCTGCCGCACGAAAATTTTTCATTATTCATTATTTTTGAAAAATTGGCTTAAAAAACACCAAATTCATCTCCAGATCAAAGTCTTATTGCTGCATTCCGCAAGCGCAACTCAAATTGTATCTTTCTAAAGATATTACTCGCCAGAATGCCTCTATTTTTTATGTCAGCCCTGGTATGTGTAGAAATATACTGTAGTCTGTAGACTGTAGTGTAGGACGTATTAAATTAAAATGAATTATACACCAATTTTTAATACTTCAGATTTTTATGGGGGTTTTTACTGGGTCAAGGAAATTATTGACAAGAAGAATTCAAATACAAAAAATAATGAAAAATGAAAAAATCCCGCTCCAAATTTTTGAAAATTGTGGACGAGAAACATGATATCAATTTTCATTGACCTTATTGGTCGAATACTATTCATTATTTGGTGACTAAGGGATACTTGCAGCGCAATTTATGCAAGAAGTTAACCTTCTTGAAAGCGGTGTTACACGTCACACATTAAAGTTAAGCCGGTTACAGACGAGCACGTTTTCATATGACAAGTTTTATTTGCTCGTGTGTATAGGCAACTTTGGTGTGTACGTACAACAAAGTTTCTATGATAATTTTTTTGTTTTCTGATCACCATTCGCCACAATGGCTATTATTAGCTATGACAATAACAGATCACTGGACAGGCAAACAAAATTTGTACTTTGCCAAATTTTTCTATGCCAAGTGCACTTGTCCAAAAGCTAGCACTATCTTTTGAACAAGTCTACTTGTCATCGTGACATTTTGACCTCTGCATTTTGACATTATTTCTTATTTCAACAATTCCTTTCAACTGCTCACGCCGGAGCCTGGGCTCTAATCTCGTTCGGCAGAAGCCGCCATGTTGGTACGGTAAATTTGTATGGCGAAAATCAAGAATATTCACCGTATTTTTTGCAAGCCTGGTTGGTTTTAGTGGTTCTACTATATGCCATGATGTCCACGTAAGTTTTAGTTAAAGATTTGAAATAATTTACTTCACCTAAGGCGTGTTTTGAATTGTGTTTTGATGATAATTTTAGGATCAATTCGACGCCGGCAAATAAACCTATTGGTGTAACATCTGCAATTAGCACTGCTGGACCCAAACCGGAGGTAGTTTTAAAGGCAAAAGCTGCGTTTTTATAACCATGAAAGTTGTATGTTTGTTGGGTGTAAAAATTGGTTGTAATTTTGGCGCTAAGTCAAGTGCATTGTTTTTTAGGATATAAAACAGACGGAGAACATTGAAAATGTTTTGAAGGAATATGGTGTGTTTGAGAGTGAGGAGGAGTTACAACACAGGTTTGTGGACCCTTTAGTGAGGTTTAAAATGATTGGTATAGCTTGTTGTTTGGTATTGGCCATTTGCCAAGTCCAGGGTAAAATTTATCAGTAACAATGCTTCCTAAGGTAAAAACAACCTAAAGGTCAATTTCTGCTGAAAGGTCATAGGCACAGAGTTGATACCGTTGATTCAACTTGGCCAAAAACCTGTAACTGCTGTCACACAATGATTCACCATTGAACTGAACCATGTTCTGAGTTAGTGTGCTTACACCAATCATCTGGATTGGCAGGGTTTAATCATCTGGATTGGCAGGCACCAAAGATTTGGAATGATATGAATGTAGGAGTTGGCACCTCACTTTCAGAGGAATTGAAGAATTTATAGACGCTTGCTGGCATCATCAGCGTTTCGCAGGCAATTTTGCAGACACCCCCCCCCCCGAATTAAAAGGGGCTAGTTTCGCCCCTGCATTCATTGCCCTGAACATCCATCATTTTGAATGTTTTCACGAGAGTGAACGCCTCTCATAAGCCACCTGGCTACATACCCCTCTCCCCAGTCAGTGTTTAGTCAGGCAGGTTCTATTTAAAAATTGGGCAATTTACTTGGCTTGCCTCGGTATAATGTATTTTCTCATGATACCAATGTATCTACTATAATTACTATAAATAATTGTCTATATTAATCACATCTGTTAATAGCAGATATGTATTCCTTCTATTTACCTTCATAAACTGATGACGATGTTGTAGGGCCCTCGTTGATACCAGTGATACATCACTGAAGAGGTTACCCTACGGAAATAAATATGATTTGATTTGCAATTTTCATTAACATTGTCCTTCCCATATTTTTTTACCCATACACATCTATGTGAAAGCTTATAACCCATAGTGTACACCGAAGATATATGCCAATTTTTATTATAGCTACTATTATAATTTACCAAACTTATACAGAGGATATTAGATGTTTATAACTCTACTTTTTACAGCTTTGTAGATTGCCAACCCTTGTATAATCTTAATGCTATTCTTTAGGATGGTTGTTTTAGCCAAACTTCATGAAATTGTTAAAGAATGGATAAAACAACAGAGCTTAGAAAAGGTTGGTGTATTGTGCAGTTTCCTCATGGTTTGAGGACTTGTGTGATATATTCCACAAATTCTTGACAATGATTGACATATTTTTTCTTGTAGAATATTCCTGAAAGTTTGATAGACCAAGTTGGAGGAAAAATCTTCACATTTGGTTCATTCAGACTGGGAGTTCACACACAAGGTAATGTATGGGGATCTTCCTGTGAACTAAACAAGCTTTTGTTGGTAGATGCAACTACCTGAAAAATATAAGGAGAATTTCGACGTTTTGAGTGAAGGCCCTTCATCTGGAGTTACCTGTACTAGCTTCCTGTAAACCCCTTTTTCACCCGACCCCTCCCCCCACCCCTGGGCCATGTTAGATATTGGTCATATTGTATTGCATTCTATGCTGCATGCTTGTGTAGGTAAAAGCATAGTTTCTCATGCAATTTTGAAAATAGCACATAAGCGAGCTTTTCAAAAGCTTATATTTTGGGAGAAGGACAAGTAACAAGTTGTGCAATGAAATTTCCAGGTGCGGATATTGATACACTGTTAGTGGCTCCACGTCATATCACTAGAGATGATTTCTTCAGCAGTTTTTATGAAATCCTGGAAGAAAATGAAGAAGTTAAAGAATTACGGGTAACAATTGTGGATAATGCTGAAAATAGTATTAGCAATATGCCAAGTATATTATTAGCTCAATGTAATTATGCCCTTTGCATGTTTAGGCAATCAAGGAGGCATTTGTTCCTGTGATCAAAATGGAGTATTGTGGAATTGAAGTATGTTGTATATCAACTATTATGTTGTATGACATATTGCTGTGTATATTGAGATGTGTACATTTTTGTAATTTAGATGGACTTGTTATTTGCAAGACTAGCACTGGCTCAAGTACCAGAGAATCTTGACTTGCTTGATGAAAGCCTGCTTAAAAATTTGGATCCAAAATGTGTCAAAAGCTTAAATGGTAAAATTTCTTAGTGTTAAATTCAGCATCTCAGAAATTACTCTACCTCTATTTAGAGTATCATGATTGGGTTTTTGTCAACCCATTGAGTGGTAGTGCTCTGCCCTTGACAAATAAAATTGTCTGGCATTAGACAGACTCATTTTTATTCTTCAATGTAATTGTTGATGTACTGTAAGTTATGCACGATATTGACACTGGTTATTTACATGTGAAAAAAAGCTGTTAAATTAACTTAAATTTCTTTTCAGGTTGCAGAGTCACAGATGAAATCCTGAGACTAGTCCCCAACCACAAATCATTCAAATTAACCCTTCGAGTTATCAAACTATGGGCAAAAAGTAATTCTTCACAGTGTGAAGCATTTAATTTGTAATTTATGGATCTTGTTCAGAGTTTAAATTATTATTTTCCTTGTTCTTAGAGCATGGTATATATTCAAACGTTCTTGGGTTTCTTGGTGGTGTCTCATGGGCAATGTTGGTTGCAAGAACTTGCCAACTTTATCCAAATGCAGTACCTTCAACTCTTGTTGAAAAATTCTTCTTAGTATTTTCTAAATGGTCAGTTGAACTGCTTTGCTTTATTTTGCATGTTTCTCATGATTTTATGAAATATTTGTTGACTTCTCATGACTGAGGGTTATTTTCTCTCATTCATAGGAAATGATGACATGAAATATAAAATACTTGTTGAGTTAAACAAAATTATGAAGGTTTCCTATATCTTTTCAGGAAATGGCCAAATCCAGTTTTATTGAACGAATTAGCGGATGAAAACAAACTTGGGTTTCCCGTTTGGAATCCCAGAGTAAGCAATTTTATCTGTTAGGCAGACTCACTGACCAACTGATTGCCTGCATGTCTGTATGAGCAGTCGTTCAACCGACTCGCTGACTAACTGTTTGATTGATTGATTCGCCAATTGACTCTATGTTTGACAGATTCGGTGACTGACTAATGAGTTGGGTGGCGAATGAACCAACTGGCAAATTGATTGACCAAACAGAACAGCTGGGTGCACACATCCTCCAGACTGGTGATAACTTATATCAAATTGGAAGCACTGTAGAAGATTTAACTAGTAGGACTACCAGAAATATAGTTGTATATTCATGTTGTTGAATCTTCTACAATGCTCACAATTTGAATCCTTGCTACCTAACATGCCTACCAACCATTCAAGATTGTTTAAAAGGTTCTGTAAAGAACACTATGAGAACAAACTAGCTAGGTCAACTGAACTAAACCATTCAAAGATTATATTAGGAATTTTAATTTTTTAGGTATAGGTATAGGTTTAATATTGTGTTATTGTAATGTATGTCTGTGATGTCTGCATGTAAATAATGTATTAATGTATTCTTAAGAGGAACAGTCTGGAAACAAGTGGTAACTTTATCTGTTAAACCTTGTTAAATAAATGTTACATTTCACTGACTAAGAGGTTCATTGTATTTTCTAGATAACAGCCACAGATGCATATCACTTGATGCCGATCATCACTCCAGCATATCCACAACAGAACTCCACATACAATGTTTCAGGTTCCACAAGGAAGATAATGCAAGATGCATTTGAAGAAGGTGCAACACTAAAGCCTGCACAAATGAGACGAGCAAGTTTTTCTTGACAAGTTTTGTTGCTTGTGTTCACGGAATGTTGTTAAACATTTATCTCACGTCAAGATGTTGTTTGCCAAAACCAGAAGTATATCTTCTACACTTGTCAAGTTTTCCTTGACAGCTGTACAGAAGAACAAATTTTCCTTGTCCAAAAGCTGACCTGATTATCTTGGAAAAACAAGGCTCCTTGGCAAGGGAAAATTGCCATACACACGAGCAAATACAACTTATAAACTTGCTTGTCTGTATAAGGCTTAAATTTATATAGTTCATTGAACTCGGTCCTTGAAACTCAGGTCGGCATTCGGCAATGCCGACCTAAATGCCAACCTGCAAAGCGATATGTGTAGATTTAGGTCGGCAAAATTTTGCCGACCTATTTTCAAATACGTCTCGGCATTTTATCCGCGAACGCATCTTTTGAAAAGTAAACTTACGTGTTAAAATCGTCGAGCGTCAAGATTTAAGTGAAAGTACAGTATATGGTAATAAAGTAGTGTACGGTCTGTTACAACATTTGGTCACAACATGCACTGTTCGATTGGAGTTAATACTGACATACATTTTGTTAGTTGTTTTGTTTGCTATTGGCATTGATTGCAATTAATTGCTGTTTATAAATACGCGTATTTGCAACAAGCAAATTAAATTTTCATTTGTATATTGTCTATTTGTTTTCAAAATATTTCAGTGCCGACCTAGATAGAGAATTATCGCTTTTAGGTCGGCAATTTCTTGCCGACCTGAAATTTCGGGAGTTTCAAGGACTGTAATTCATTGTATGAAACTACTAGTAGAATTAAAAATGAACCCACTTTGAAAAATTGTAGTTACCTCCACTAAGGCTCTACTATAATGATTATTGACCTCACATCTATGTACAGTATACAGCTTGCCCTGGTTTTTACATTTCTATGTATTTCTCTTCATGTAGGTTTTAAAACAGTGCAGAAAATTTACCTTGGGAAAGCTGATTGGCATGCACTCTTCAGTCCACCTAATTTCTTCCAGAAATACAAGTATGTTGTTACTGTATTAAAGAGTACAGAGAAGATCTATTTTGAGAATGGTTTTATGTTCTTTGTGTACAATTATGCAAATTGCCTCCCTAACAGAGTTCAAACAGAACAGTACAGTCTATTTATTTATGGATTTCTTTATTTTCGGTGGAACAGTCATCAGAGCAAGTGCCTTTCATGCATAAGATAATGTCAGTGCTCTGCTGAAAGTCATGAGTTTTTTCCAGGTGCTTCGGTTTCCTCCAGGGTCTTAGCTAGAGGGCCGTGTTGGCCATGTTATCGCGGCCAAAAAGGGAAAAACACGGCTAGATAAAATGAACGCGGTTTCATTATAGTACAGGTAATGATCGAGAGAGGTGAGCGGACGTGTCCTCTGCTGCTCCGTGTTTAAAAAAGTATATTTCTTTAATTTTGTTCAAACTCTATAATCGTGTTGACTACAATTATCAAGTATAGATCTTAGAGATCATGCCACCTAAAAGGCGACCCAAGAATATCAACAGCCAAGAAAATGGCGAAGTCGAACAAAATATGTCTGACGAAAACCTGGCCACGGCGACCTCAACTGGCTCGAGCAACTCCCTAGAAGCTCTTCTCGATCGTCGCCTAAATCAGCAGTCTGAACAGATCAACGAACTGTTTGTTAAGTTCACTAAAATGACGAAGATCGACCTTGAGGAAGTGAAGAAGAGTCAGGAATTTCTTAGTACAAAGTTTGACGGTTTAATAAAGTCTGTGAGCGATCTACAAGCTGAGAATATCGAGCTTCGCACGCAGAATGATGAGCTGAGAAGCAGAGCCGACAAGTTGGAGTATCAAGTCACTACTAATATGAATGATCTCGAATACCAAAGGCAGTACTCGCGTAGAGATCTGCTAGAAATTCAAGGCGTGCCCGTTGTACAAGGTGAAGATACCAACGCCATTGTGGTGAAAATCGTCGAACTAATTGATCCCAACATGTCATTTAACGCTAATGACATTAGCACTAGTCATCGTTTACCAACAACAGGTAACATGATCCCACCTATAATAGTTAAATTTACCAGACGAGACGTACGAGACAAAATATATCAATCGAAGCGTCGCCTCTACTTGAAGAAAGCTTCGGACATGGGGATGGGATATTCGCAAGATGCGAAGTTATATATCAACGAGAGCTTGACCAGAAAGATGCGAATCCTTTTTAAAGAAGTGAGAGCTTTCAAAAGGAGCCATGACTATAAGTTTGCTTGGACGAAGAATGGTACGGTGTTTTTGAAAAAAACCGCTAACCCATCGTGTGAAGTTAACACTTTTACGTCTACTGACGAGTTTAAAGGATGGACAAATTCTCTCAACACTGAAGGATAGATTTTTGCATAATTATTGATAAGTATTATCTTAATCTGTTTTAACAATGGCGTGTGTTAATGACCTGCCCTTTAAACATATTTTCCCATTTAATCACCTAGATGATGTATCGTTTAGTGCAGCTTTATATGAAATGTCCCATGGGCCAATAACCTTTGACTTTGACCGATTAGATACTTTAGTGTTCAACCCAGTGGAACACCTATCCTCAGCCCACTTTCCTTCAACTGATTTAGATCCTGATTCGAACTTTTATGCAACTTCTCCTTATACCTGTAATTACATGGTTGAAAATGAAATCAAAAAGCTAGCCACAGTTACGCGGGATCATTCTGATTTTTCTTTGCTGCACCTCAACTGCCGCAGTTTGCTTGGCCATTTTGATGATTTCAAATCACTGATTGCAAATTTGCATAAATCGTTTTGTGCCATTGGAATTTCCGAAACCTGGCTTAATGATCAAACATTTGACCTCGTTAATGTTCCTGGCTATTGTTTCATTTCCAACCACCGCTCAGGTAAAACTGGAGGTGGTGTAGGTCTTTACTTACAAGATCATTTTCAATATAAATTACTTCAAGACTGTACCATATCTAATCCTGACGTAATTGAGTCTATGTTCGTTGAAATTCCTAACCCACACGGAAAAAATATCATTGTGGGTACAGTTTATCGACCACCTAACCAAAACCTCGATTCGTTTATGCATGAATTTAATAAAATTCTTTCAACCATTTCTAAAGATAATAAACAGTGTTATCTCATGGGTGACTTTAACCTTGATCTACTTCGTTATGATCAGCATTCAGCTACCCAGGAATTTGTGGATTCTTTGTTTTCTAATATGTATATTCCTCTTATTACGCGACCGACGCGCATAACTTCACACACTGCTACATTAATTGACAACATATTTACAAATTCATTTGCAAATTTACAAAACACTCAGAGCGGGATTATTCTCAATGACATTTCCGATCATCTACCCGTTTTTGCATTTTGTAATAATGTGTCTCTTCCTTGTAAAAAAAGTGATAAGAGCTTATATAAGCGAGACTTTGGAGAAGAAAATCTTACTAATTTCTACACTAGCTTATCACAGGTGGACTGGTCAAATGTTGTGGTAGGACAGGACCCTAACATTCAATTTAATGCTTTTGCATCAGAATACAACACACACTTTGAAGAATGTTTTCCTCTTAAACAAATTAAACTAAATCGTTCAAATAAGTCAATGACCCCTTGGATTTCGAAAGGTTTATTAGTTTCCATTAAGAAGAAGAATGGACTTTACAAAAAACTAATTAAAAATACAACTCCCGCTCGTGAATCACAATACAAAACTTATAAAAACAAATTAAACCATTTAATTAGGATTGCCAAGCGTTCTTACTATGACAATAAATTCGAACAAGCGAAAGATAATTTAAAGGAAACCTGGAGGCTAATTAATGAGGTCATTAATAAAGATAAGAAAATACATTCCCCGCCATCTTCTTTCAAATCTGGCGGCAAAATAATTTCTGACCCTTTAGAAATTGCGAATGGATTTTGCAAATACTTTACAAATGTTGGACCAAATCTTGCAAGTAAAATCCCGACAGTAAATGTTTCTTTTCAAAATTTTCTTGGACCTCATGTCAAAGAAACAATATTTTTGAGACCAATCACTTTTCTTGAACTGTATAAAATCTGCATGTCTCTTAAAGTTGGGAAGGCACCTGGTGCTGATGGCATCCCAATGCAGCTTATTAAAGGCTCTTTTCAATTTATTTCTGAACCATTAATGCGTATAATTAACCTCTCTCTTGAGAATGGTATTTTCCCCGACAAATTAAAAACGGCTAAAGTTATCCCTATTTATAAAGCCGATGACCCAGAACTTTCTAATAATTACAGACCTATTTCAATTCTATCAAACTTTTCGAAGATCTTTGAAAGGGTAATGTACAATCGACTAATTGAATTTATTGAAAAGTTCGAAATATTGTATTGTTATCAATTTGGTTTTCGTAAAAATAATTCAACTAATTTTGCTTTAATTCATTTGACTAACAAGATTGCAACTGCTATTGATCAAAATAAAATTACAGCCGGTGTTTTTGCAACCTCGTACCCAGGGTCCCCGTGTTTAAAGGTTCTGGTGCACGTGGAGGGACCCTGGCAAACTCTGACTGCCAGGTTACCAAATAATCCAAAAATCTTGGAGTATTTGTCGACCTGGCCTTTTTTAGCATTGGCATAACGGGGGGG